CTATTTGAAGTTCCCTTGGGTGAGATAGATTCAAGTCTAACCTGAAAACAATGGAGAATTGCTGTGTTCTGTTTTGGGGAAGTTCATCTCTTTCTTGAGAAACAGTATTGTTAAGTAAACAGCCAATAAATAGTTACTTTCCCCAAATCATCTGTCTTAATTATTCTGGAGGTCCACAGCAGATTCCACTTGAGGGCTTTATTAACGGGATGCAGAAGGGAGGACAGTTCTGCCGTGACTAAATGTGTCGCGGGGCAGTGCCATCAAGGACCAAGGTACCTTGCTCTTTCCATGAACATTTTCACCATGTGAGTTTGGTCTTCCCTGGCAAAGCAATGCCAATGAAAATAAGCTATCGTGATAGGCTCAGACCATGAAGATTTGCCCGTTGGCCTTGGGAATGACCTCCCTGCTCTCTGGCTCACACAGTTCACTGCTTTGGGCTGAGTTCTAGAATTCATTGCGATGGCACCCATTACTTGCAGTTGCAGGCAATGCCCACACTTAACGGGGCTTATTGTGGACATTGACAGGTTACAAATCAGGAGAAAAGTGTTCAAGATAGACTCACTCTGCCAGGATATTTTACCCAGTTCTTTCAGGGCTGCTAATACATGCTCAGAGGGCATGCCACTCTGCTGCAGGCCTCACCAAGGCACGCCTTTCCAGCTAGCTCCCTGAGTCAGTAAACCCAGCTGCATGAGTTACCCTAAGTTCCCAGAGGAACTCTGCTCCCCAAGCCAGCCTCCTGTGCAGAAGCCCTCAGCTTTACCTGCTCTAGTCTGAGGTCCCACCACACTTGTTCCTGGTTTGGGGACTCCTCGATCCTCTGATGTCAATGCTGCCTCCTGGATCAAAGGTTCACCGCAGGAATCTTGAAGTCCAGAGGGCATGTTCCATTCTTGGCTCTTACTGGTAGTGAGCTTCGCCCCCACCCCCACTTTGAGATGCCTCACGTTATACCCTGCTGGATGACACTCCCTCACAGCTGATTCATATAATACAATCATATCTCAACCCCACCCCCATTTTACCCAAATCTATTAAGGAAAATGATTTGGTGGCAATGCCAAAAGCTAACTGCTTTGGAGTGCTGTCAGCAATTCACTGTACTGTAAGGTCCCTCGGGAAGAGGGATGACATCTGGATTTTGGTATCATGGAAGAAAGCGGGAAGGTAGTGGGAGGGAATTAGGGAGCTAGCTGTTGGCTAGGCAGCAGTTCATATATTAGTTTACTGATCCAGGTATTAACTATAATTCCTAAAGGGATCAAATTTCAGATTTAGAGACAAGCACCCTTTCTGAGCTGAATTTTGGTGTAGCTCTATGTGAGCTACTAATAACATTAAGTTTGCTTTAACAAGTCCTCAAAATGCTAGGATCTTTCTTACTGTTTCACATTTCCTTATCTTACACAATATGGTCACAATCATAGTTTACAAGATTGTTGAAGTTATGTCTCAGCTTCCCAGAAGAGTTTAAAAGCTCTTTTGGATTTGTGATGAAAACAGATGAATATTTTATTACCAATCTATTTTAACTAAAAAAATTAAAAATGAATTGCAAAATATCCAAATTAGAAAAATATGCCAAAAATACAGAATTAAAAGTTTATAAAATAATCAGTAACACTCACTCAACAGTCATCGAGTCAGTGCTGACTCATGCAACCCCCTGTGGGTTTGTAAAACTGCTTACAGGAGTAGAAAGCCCAGTCTTTCTCCGAGGAGCTGCTGTTGGTTTCAAACTCCTGACCATGTGGATCGCAGCCTAGCCACAGTTAACTTCGGATATATGCCCCTCATGCTGTGCACCTGAATGAAAGAAACATACATACAATCAAAGAACCAAATTTGCACCATGAAGTGGATTCTAACTCACAGTGACTTTTCAGGAGGGCTAGACTTGCCCGTGTGGGTTTCTGAGATTGTAACTTTTCAGGGGAGTAGGAAGCCTCATCTTTTTTGTGATTTTATATATATATATGGTTCTAAAATGGGTTGCACATGGCTACAACTTGTCTTTTTTCACCTAATATTTGTGATTTTATATATATATATTTATATTTCACCTAATACCATGACGTCTTACTACATAACCCACCTCTTTCTTCCTCATTGCTGCATAT